GGGAGCGTCCAGACTAGTGCGCTGAGCGGACAAACAGCTGATCAGCTGTTTGTCGGCTCAGCGCGGCAGCCATGTAAATGTAAATGAAGCCGCGATCATTTAAATCGCGGCTTCATTTGCCTTTGCCAAAAAAACAAATCTACATGGCTCCGTCGACGAAGCCATGTAGTCTAGACATACCCATAGAGTCTATGTTGGCACAGGTGTGCTGGCAAAGCCCCCCCCAGCCTAGATGCAGCTCACACCAAGGCCGCGTCTCCACGTGCCAAAGGATCAAAGTTCTGGCAATCGATCTTCTAGGGTTTGATTTAGCAGGCCTTGTAAAGGCCTGCTAATTCGAATGCTGAGGGTGCCCCCATTGGCACCAATATTCCTCACTGTCGCAAGGAGTACAGGAAATCGATGGGAGTGTTTCTCCCACTGACCTCCCACTGTGGGGCTGCCCCAGACAAAGGTACATTGACTCCAGCAATTCACGTAGCTGGAGTTGCATATTTTGCATCGATCCTCTCCATGAGCGTAGTCCTGGCCTTACAGTGAGTTTTTCTGACAGTGTAGGGATGCCTCTTGAATAACATTAGCTCTGCCGACAGAAGCACTCTTCTATTGGCACAGCTGCATTAACACTGGGGTTTTTATTGGCATATCTACGCTGGCCAAGGACTTGGGTTTTTCACACCCTGGACTGACACAGCTATGCCACTATAAATTTTATGTGTAGCCCAAACCTAAAACTCACAAGCATTAGTCTCCTGATCACAGTTGTGACCATTTCTTGGTTCTCTTTAAACTGAGCTACAGAAACATAAACTTTTGAATTTTCCCGGAATAACTTTGTGTTGTACTTACACTACTGGAAAGGTTCTGAGCATACTTTACATGGGGAGGGCAAGTCAGAAAGCCTCTTGGGGGTCTTCAGCGTTATTTACCATTCTGTAAGAGACAAGTCAGAGAAAAAATACCATTAACTTTTGCTCAAAATGTAGAAGCATTTTGCATTACCAGGCTAATAACTGAACTTGTATACTACCTTGATGTTTTATAAAAGCCTGGCTAGACAGAAATAAGACACACATTAAAGTAACCCGAATCCACCATTATGAGAGCAGAAAACAGGGACCACATTATTAAATATGATCAATTAGGGAAAATCCCCCTCTGCAATCCCTGAATTTCCCATATGATCTTTCAAATATTTTCTTATATTTCAAGTACCACGAAGGCCTCATCTGATTGACAATCAAAGATTCACCACTGATTTCAACTGGCCCTCAGTTCTCCATGTCTGATACATAATTCTTCACATTTAAACATCAGACACATTACAAGGATTCCTGTAAACAATCAGATGTTTATAGGACCACAAAGGACAGCCAGTGAGTACCCTCTCCACCAGAATAGGTATATTTTAAAATTGAAATGTTAAGTCTCATTACTGTCACGGGAATCAGTGATACATCCATCTCTACCAATGATCAATCATGCTCACTGGTATACGAAGAACCCTACTAAGAATGGTGGCATCTGGTTCTATAATCATAGGTCTCCAGGATAAGAAATCCAGATTACAATAGATTTTCTGTGGTGATGAGTAAAAATAATCCATGCCTCCATTTACCCCTCTGTAAAATGATGCTAATCACGATCATTTATCGCCTCTCCAGGGATATATGAGGATTAGCTTATGTCTGCAAAGAGCTCAGAAGATAAACACTAAATATTGTGAAAATAGATGACCTATATACCACTTTCTTTAGTTACCATTTCTAGTGACTTGCTCCACAATGAAATGAGTTGGAAGCAAGGCAAAGACAGGGCTACCATCCATTTGAGAAGAGGTAGGCAGGACAAACTCAGGCAGACTACAAAGAGAATTACTTGCATCACTCAAGATCATCTCATCTGAAGAAGTGGGTTTTGCCCATGAAAGCTCATGATTTTTTTCCTCTCTCTCTCTCCTTATATATAGTTAGTTAGTTCCTAAGGTGCTACTAACACAGCTACCCCTCTCAGACTTTTGTATTATAGGGTACTGCAGACCACTCTAGCATTGCATTCCTATAACATGCATTATTGGACCTAGAATTAACAATGGAAAACCCTTAGAATACAGAGAAACCTAGAAAGCACCACATACACTTAGGGTGTGTCTACGCAGCACTCTGAACTTGAAATAAGATACGCAATTAGCACTATGCAAATTGTAATCTTATTTCAAATCTATTTCAAAATAGCGTATTTTGAAATTTGGCGTGTCTACAGCACCAAATTTCAAAATAATGCACTATTTCAAGCCATCCCTTATCCCTCGTGCAATGAGGTTTACCAGGATGGCAATATAGTGCGCCCATTATTTTGAAAAATATTTTGAAATAACGGGTGGCTTGTGTAGATGCAGGGTAGCTATTTCGGGATACCTCTGGTATCCCAAAATAACTGTGCAGTGTAGACATACCCTTACAGAACAGCATGAATAAAAGCTAACCTGTTGCCACACAAAAGCATACCTTCTAGCTGGTGAAGCAATATTTTGTCCCCACGGTCCCCTATTAGCACAGATTTAGGCATAAGCAGTGGGTGAAGGCCCAGCTGGGGAAGGTAACTCCAAGACCTGCATCCTCTTGTAAGGGGACTGTTAGCCCCTTACTAAAACTCTGTGGGAGTTTTTGGTTCACCAGCTCCCAGTATCAAAAGGGAAAGGGTCCATGAGAAATCAGGGCCCTGAGACTGACAGACCCCAGAGACAATGGAAAGCAGCCAACACTCCAGCTCGGCCTGACTGACAGGTTGGACAGGCCAGTGAGGAAAGTAAGAGGCCAGGCCCCGTCCTCCCTGTGAGCTGGGATTGTTCTGGGTCTCTCTGAGCAAGGAGAGAGCTGAGAGACAGCTAAGAGGAGCAAGCTGTGTAGAGAAGCAGTCCTGCAGCAACAGAGCCAGGCACACATAGACCAAGGAGCGCAGACCCTGTGTTGAGCAGCAGACTGGCAGTGCTCAGAGCCAAAAGGGACAGAGAAGCAACGCAAGGAGCTGGAGACTGGCAAAGCAGCACAGCCTGCAGCTAGGTGTGGTGAGCAGCTGGGACCAGCAAAGTGCGGGGAGAAGCTCTGGGCAGGGAGATATCACCAGCCAAGAGGCCCAGCAGGCCAGACTGGGAGAGGGGTCTGGCCACTTAGAGCTTGAGGCTGTGTGGGCACTGCCAGAGCAAGCGTGTCCAGCCTGCAGCCCCCCTGCAGCACATCCAGGGCCTCTAAGGGGCCTCTAAGGAAGAGACTGTGGACTGTCCTTACACTCTGCAGACTGCTGTTTTGATGTCCCTGTGCCACAGAGCAGGACTGTGTGTTCTCATTTAACCATTCTCATTTTTTCTTATTCTTTTCTTTTTAATCAGTTGATGTTTAATAAATTGTATTTGCTTTGAACCTTATGAAATGATCACTGGGCCAAGAAAGCATGCAGTGTGAAGAGAGCACCTCGGAGTAGGGACACCCTAACTCCTGCCCCCTAGTGACTACAAGGTCAGGGATTAAGCCCCAGGAAACCTGGGCCCAGCCTTGTTGAGGTTTCGAGGACTCTGCTACTCAGGAGAGTGGAGGGGGAGCCCTCAGGATCAGGGAAGACATAGGGTAAAGGAAGTGGGAGCGGGGATTCAGATCCTTTCATTGGTCCATTTCACCGGGGTAGTATAGAAGCCAGGAAAGTTCCCCACAATAGCGGGACCATTCCCCGCTTACATTCCACCTGAAGCCACAGCCCATGCCCCTTCAACAACTTCCCCTTCCAGACAGAGCCATCCCAGACAGGCGGAGGGCTGGGGCTGCCGTGCCATGGGCCCAGCCGTCCCGGGAGGCCAAGAAATCAGACTGCTGCGGTGCGGGCCCAGCCCTTTCAGGTGGCTGGAATTTGGATCTTCCATTGAGGTCAAGTAGTCAAATCCTGAACAATTTTTGAGGACCACAAGGGGTGAGCGCGGGTGGACATTTGTATGGAAAAAGTCGTACAGGCGGAGGGCTGGGGCTGCCGTGCCATGGGCCCAGCCGTCCCGGGAGGCCAAGAAATCAGACTGCTGCGGTGCGGGCCCAGCCCTTTCAGGTGGCTGGAATTTGGATCTTCCATTGAGGTCAAGTAGTCAAATCCTGAACAATTTTTGAGGACCACAAGGGGTGAGCGCGGGTGGACATTTGTATGGAAAAAGTCGTGCCCAGGAGAGCAGCCATACCACCATGCTAAAAGTACTGAAAAATGGGGAAAGAAAGATGTGTGTATTCCCCCTGGAGCCAGCCTCCCTGCCCTCCTCTCTTCTTCCCAAATCTCACTTTCCAAATATTGTTAGTTATCCAGTAAGCCATTTCTTATTCAATCTCTATGCTGCATTCAACACATTTTCGCTCAGCTAAAGGCACAAAAGGAATGAGATCATATTGTTGATCAACTGCCAAATTTCAGCTTTGAAAACCAAAGCAGTTTCTGTGTTAAACAGACACAAAATAAAGTTGCATCTTAAAATACAGGCAGACTTTCTGAAGGGCAGAGGGTCTAATAATAGTGAGTTCTCACTCTGATGCTTGATGCTAGGCCAAGAGCAAGGAAGAAGCAGTCGCTGGAGTTAACCAAGATCACTTTCCATTGCCACAAAACACAATTTGCAACCCTGGAGTAGGAGCTACGTGACCTGGGGGGAGCCAGAAAAGAGAAGGTTGCAGTGACTTACGTGGGAGATGACCAAGGCACAGACAAGAATTTTATAGACAAGAAAGGATGATACAGATTTCTGACACATTACAAGGAATGGGAAACAGCAGGATGCAAACAAAGAAGAGAGGGGACGAAGCATCCAAAAAGAGCAACAAGCTTGTGAGTCTGCGTCACAATGTCTGCGTCATATTTGGTCCTGCCTCAACACAGGGGGATGGACTAGATAGCCTGCTGAGGTCCATTCCAGCTCTACATGTCTATGATTTTATGTTTTCATTGTTTTCCTCCTTAGGCTTAGTCCAACCAGAGAGTCTCTTGAGAGAGCTATTTCTCCCTGATCAACATTAGATCAACTTTCCTTTTGACCAAAGAGGACCAATTGTGAAATTCTCCAGAGGCTTTTGATATTGCACCTATATTAGCTGGAGGAGCCACTAGTTTCCACTTCTCTTTCCTGTTTCATCTCACCTGCTCTGACAAGTTCTGCTCCTGTGGTTACTCTAAGGACCCACAAACTCCCTTGGAAGCCTATTCCAGAGCTTAACTACCCCTATAGTTAGAAAGTTTTTCCTAATATATAAACCTCCCTTTGCTGCACATTGTAAGCATTTATTCTTGTGCACCTTCAGCAGACATGGAGAATGATTGATCCCCGCCTTCTTTAAAAAATATTTGAAGATTAACAGGTTCCCTCCTCAAAACTCAATATACAAATATATTAAACTCTCCTCATAGGTCATGTTTTCTAAATTTTTCATTATTTTTGCTGCTCTCATGGACTCTAATTTGTCTATATCTAAGTGTGACATCTAAAACCAGACCCAGCACTCCAGCCGAGGCCTCACCAGTGCCAAATGGAGCCGGACAATTACCTTCCGGGTCTCACATCTGACTCATTAATACGCTCCAGAACGATATTAGTCTTTTTTGCAACTCCGTCACATTGTTGGCTCAAATTCCATCTCTAAGCCCCAGATCCTCTGCAGCAGTACTACTGCCTACCCAATGATTCCGCATCTTGTATTTCGTTCCTTCTTACGTGTAGTACTTTGCACTTGCCTTAATTGAATTTCAACTTATTTGCTTTCAGAACATTTCTTCAATCCATCAAAGGCATTTTGAATTCTAGTCCTACCCTCCAAAGCACTTGAAACCTTTCCCAGCTTGGTGTCACCTTCCCGGCTTGGTGTCACCTACCCCAATTGTATAAGCACTCTCTTTTCACTGTTACTTAAGACCTT